GGCATGACTTGGTAGTGCGTTAGCAAACGCCGTAGCATTGTCCCTGATAGCTCTAGGGGCGCTACCGCGCTTTTTGTGATGAGGAATCTGAAGTAGACATCCATGATTAGTTATACGTGCCTACCTACCATAAGTAAAAAGGGGAACAAGGATAGGAGTATTGAAAGTTTGAAGGGGACCCACACGAAACGGCACTTTACATCTTTTTGAACACGAATCGATACCTGGGCCAGAGGCCTATTTGAGCCATTAACCAGGTTTTGCATTGGGTCTTGCGGAACATGACCAAGAAGGTCTTTCAGCTGATCATCATTAAGAACGTTGACTTTGGTAACACTTCCGTCGGCTGAGATGTCGCGTATCGGTACTTTTATTTTGTCCTCGTCTTGCAAGAACATGAGCCTTTCGCCATCTGACAGTCTCTCATGATAACCCTTCAAGATGGCATCTCCGTACGATTTGGCCTCGATATGGTTGCGGGGGAATGCAGTCAGTTCCAGATATGACTGCTCAAACTCATGTGGAAGCGCATTTGAGGTCGCCATTCTCCCGTAACATGACTTGTGCGTGATCGGATCCAAAGCGTGATGTTTTTACTCGAAAGGAGTACTCAGATGAGTGGGGTGCCTGTAGAACATCCCCGAATTGCACAGGAGACAATTGACTGAGAGAAAGGTTGAAAGTTCTGGCAAATATGAACCGAGCTAGTGACCTAATGAGTCTGTCCGGCGGGCAGTGCTTTTGAGGGACAGTTGCGTGGACCACCTACCCACATGCATCTTTCGACCTCTGTTCCGGCCTGTTCCACAAGAAGCAGGCTCTCGGAAAATGCAGTCCTGCTCACACCGCCCACGCCGGGCTCACCAAGCGGAGTAAATCACGAAGCCACATACATGCACATATTCAATATTATGTACTGTATACCAATCAGAGCTTAGGATCTATGTGTGGTTCTGCATACCCTCACACCATCTCCTAGACCCAGCGATATTTTGTTGTGCCCACTGGCATGCATTCTCTCTGAGAGCCCTCCCACCATTATCTGCTATGACTCTGGGTCAGGGGTGTACCTCTCCCTCGTCTCCTGTCTTGCTCGGTCGCACTCGTCCGTTTCTCTCAGTGTATCAATATCTTGTTTGTCCTTCTGCAAAATAGGATAATCAGTTGCATGCTCTGGATAGCTTATTCTAATTTCCGTTGGAGACTTAATGACACCAGAATTTACACTTACCTCTGACAGCCTTTTGGGGATACGGAAAATGTACGAGTCCGAATGTAAAGGCTTTGGTTCTTCGTTAGCAGAAGACACTTTTGATGTTCGATCTTGGAATCATCCAGCAAAACGAACCAATTCTTGACTTAACCTTGCTTCAGCTCCTTCTACTCTGAAATGATTGATAAGCCATTGCCGTAGCTCGGACTCTCTCAGGTTGTACGCTGGGACCTGATCTACAACCCATTCCTTTGGTTGTTGTGATAGTGACTTGAATGATGACTGTCTTCTCTGGCTTTTGAAGGAAAATCTTTGTGTGAGTGTCTGCTTTGGGTCTTTTTCAGTTGACGCATCGTTTGGTCTCGGCTTCCAACTCAATCTTTTCGATAATGTAGTATACATGGACTAGGAGAAAGAGTGCTGCCCTCATCCGCAGATTGGAGGTAAATGTAAGATGCGAATCTAGTTCCCGAGGCTATCGCTTCCAGGCAGCAAAAGCAGGAACACTTTCAGAGCAGACGTAGAAGGGGAGGTGTCGGGCTTATGAGTGTGTAGTCGCCTGAGCCTATTGGTCCCTCGTTCGCCTTGCCAAGTGATAGGCCGCGGCTAACTCGTCAGGCATAGATTTGTATTGTGCCATAGTATGACAGATTGTGTGACCTAGAACGCCACCTTAGCTCACGAGTAAGATCACTGTATTCTCTCGAGCCAGTAAGAAGCCAATTATGCTGTTTACGTAGGCATGCCATACCTTACTGCTTGCCATGCTTATAGGACGATGGTTGAGGCCAGGCTCTCAATGGGCTGTGCATCTCACACCAAAGGGGTAGCGAAATCCGGCATGCATATGTGGCTCGAGCTGAACGGCATTCGTGCGGCATTGCCAAACTAATTGCTTGTTCAACATGTCTTCAAATAAATTGCCCTGCCTCCAGCATGCCCACGTACACAAAAAAGCCCCAACGTCTGACTTTGGCCACTTGATAGAGCCCACGTACGGATGGCTTGGATATGATGCTAGCTCAAGAAGTCGCCACTGGGATCAAACCATTTGGATGAAATCTCACGACAGGACATATCTCGTGCTCTGGTTCCATCTCATGGTTCAGACTTGACCACGATAGCAATCCAGTCCTGGTGAAACCATGGGCAACGTCGGGCTGTCAGCAAACATAGGCCCTTTCCCTTGCTGTCCATCTCTTATCAAATATTTGCATTAGAAACGTGAACAGAAGTAAAGACCGGCGTGAAGGAGCCCAATGTCCTGATTCCGCATGGCGGTCAGTCATCGCGATTGAAATACCCTGTGCATCCCCCGATGAACGGTGAGGGAGCAGGAGAAGATATATGCTTAGGTAAGGCAAAGAACTCCATTGAAGCGGGGGAGGGGCAGAGTGAGGTGGGTCGAGCGGTGAGAGCAGATGCGTAGGACCCCTAGATTCTTATCGCTTTTTCTACAATTGCTTATCAGAGATACGCTAGGCTTAGCTGAGCGCAGTTTCGTCAGGTCCCTGCTTGTTCCAGGAAATTTTCCAATCAACATCACTCCCTCTTCACCACGGCACCTACGAATCTTCGCCGTTTGAGGACAGAAATCAAAGAGCTCCCCAAAGTACGACATCATGGATCGCAGAGGAAGAGGCTCGAACCAGAAGCGCGGTCCCCGACGCGACCGCCGCGATGCGCCGTACAACGAGTCTCCCAGATCGGGCCAGCCCGCGTCGGCCCCGGTAGCATCAGCAACAGCAGCCGCCCAAGCAACGGCGCCGCCTCTCACCGAGCCTGTCCCCCAAGATACACCGAGATTCGCCGATATGGTCGGCGTTGACCAGTCTCTGGTTCAGGCCATCACCCAAGATCTCAAGTTCGACCACATGATGCCCGTTCAGGCCGCTACCCTGGGCGAGCTCCTCCCTCCGAAGCGCGGCGATTGCCTCGTCCAGGCGAAGACCGGCACGGGCAAGACGATCGCCTTCCTCCTCCCCGCCATTCAGACCCTCATCACGAACAACCGCGGCCGCGGCGCCGGAATCTCTCTGCTCGTCATCTCCCCGACCCGCGAGCTTGCCATGCAGATCGCCAAGGAGGCTGAGGCCCTCCTCCAGCGCCTCAAGCAGTACCGCGTATGCATCGCTATCGGTGGCACCAACAAGGACCGCGAGGAGAAGCAGATTCTCAACGGCTGTGATATCCTCATCGCCACTCCCGGTCGTCTCATCGATCACATGTCCAACGAGTACATCAAGGACGCCTTCCGCCACCTCGACACTCTCGTCCTCGACGAAGCCGACCGCCTCCTCGATATGGGTTTCATGCCCGCCCTCAAGGACATTGTCCGCGCTCTTCCCGATAAGACAAAGACCAACCGCCAGGGCATGCTCTTCTCCGCCACCATTGCCTCCCATGTCGAGCAGGTTGCGGGCCTCGTCCTCTCCCAGGGCTACAAGTTCATTTCGACCATCCCGGCTGGCGAGGCAAACACTCACGAGCGCGTGCCCCAGCACCTCATCAAAGTGCCCACCTTCGCTGCCGTTGCGCCGGCCATGGTCGGTGCTATCCGCGAGGAGGCTGCGCACGTCGGCCCCGAGACTTTCAAGGCCATCATCTTCGCCCCAACGGCCGCGCTTGCCGACTTCTACGGTGACGTCCTCAGCAACGTGCCCGGCATGCCGCCCACCGCCGTTCTGCACTCGCGTATCTCACAGAGCAAGCGTACAAAGACCACCAACGACTACCGCGACTCCAAGTCAGGCATTCTCGTTGCCACAGACGTTATTGCCCGCGGCATGGATTTCCCCGGAGTCACATCCGTGTTCCAAGTCGGCATCCCCGCCGATAAGGAGTCCTACATTCACCGTCTCGGCCGTACCGCCCGCGCGGGTGCAGAGGGCCGGGGCATCTTCATTGTTGCCGAGGTCGAGGGGTTCTTTCCTCAATGGACCCTCAAGGAGATCACTTTCCAACCCCGTCCCGCCGACCTCTCATCCGCTGAGGCGGTGTACGACATTGCAGAGCAGCGCATCGACGAGGCGCAAAAGGCCAAGATCTACCAGGCTTGGCTTGGCTACTACAAGAACTGGATGAAGCCCCTCAAGTGGGACAAGGATCAGCTCGTTGCTGAGGGTAACACTTTTGCGCGTGACGCGCTTGCCTGCGCCGAGACGCCCGCGATCCAGAAGAGCACCATTGGCAAGATGGGTCTCCGTGGAACCAGAGGCCTGGTTGTTATTCCTGACGCGCCCAAGAGCCGTCACGGACACCGCGGCGGCGGCGGCGGTGGTGGCGAAGGTCGTCCCGCTGGCTCTGGCGGCCGTGGAGGTGGTGGTGGAGGCGGTGGTGGTGGCCGCGGCGGTGGAAGACGTGGTGGACGTTTCTAGATCATCACATGTTCACAGCCCTCTGTCTTGACTTCTCAGTCTTCTTTTTCGGGGAGGTATGTTCTGAGCTTGTTTACAGCAGCACTACATCACTTTTGATACCCTCATACAACTGTCTACGACGGGGAAATACGGGGATTCGTATACCTGGGATACACATACATTTGGAGGCATCGGTGGCCGGCGTTTTTCGGTAGATGGGTTTTCGGTATTAGAAAGTCAGGAGGAAAAGTTTACTAGGCATACATGACGCCTGGACACGACAAAAACATAAAGACAAAAGAAAGAAAGAGAGTGAGAGAGCCCCAGAGACGCTCTCGTCCTGCTTCCAACACATTTGATCATTACCATCGTTTCCTCAAGTGACCTCCTTACGTGACGACATCTTACACGAGTGACTGACCAGACTCTCATTTCGGCCGCTCTATTCGATACACCGTACACCTAACATCGTCCCGTCCATGCGCAGACGTGACCGTCTCCCACGCAAACTCAAACCCGCACCTCCGCAGCACCGTTTCACTGCCCACGTTTCCATCATGGACATGCGCCTCCAACACGTTCCCAGATCGTCCTTCCTCTTGTTCATGCCATCTTCCTCCTCCTACCTCACTGCTGTCCTCCGGCCTCGAGGACAATCTCCGTCCGCCGTCGGGCCCGCAGTCCGTCCCGTCGGGACCTCTTCGTCGAGCCCAATACGCCCCTAAAAACGCCCGGAGTGCCTCAGTGGCGTACCCCATCCCCCAAGATGCGCGTTGGAAAATGTAGAATATCTGCGGCGGGCTCGTGATGCCGATGAATCCAATCACGGCTGCCTCCGCCGTCACCTCGTTCGCTTCGGTGTCGTTATCGGTTTTATTAGTTTGTTCATCTGTCGGGTGATTTCTTTGCATGACAGCAAATGAGAACCCCCCTTCCTTCATCATGAGTCGCACCCTCTCGATACTCCGTCGACTCTCCTCCGCCACAACCACGGTCTCGACGCCAGGCCTATGTCAAGTATCAGTGCATTAACATCAGATCAGATCAGACCTAATCTTGGGTCAGATCAAACGATCTAGAAGCCATATAGAAGCCACAGAAATGACCCGAAAGAAAAAGCCTAAACCTGGGAATTTGGATGGGATGGGATGGGGTGGGATGAGATGAGATGAGATGGGGGGATATATCGAAAACAAAAACAAAAAAAAGAAAAAAAAAGAGAAAGAAAAGAGGAAGAAAAAGAATATGTTATGCCGTACATGTACCGCATAACCTCAGAATCCAACCTTATCCGATGAATAGCACGTAAATCACCCGCCTCCACGGGCCGCAGCCGCAACCGCGCCGTCGCGACGCAGACGTTATGCTGCAGTGGCATCGAAGCCAAATCTGCCGCCGACGTTGCCATCATCAAATTAAATCAAATCAATGTAATTCAAGACAATTCGCATCCAGAATACCCTTACTCCCCCGCGTCTTCAGAAACTTGCAATGTGGGCAATCTTATTACCCCGTTAGGCAAGTGACGTGCGTGCCCAAGCTTTTCAACGATGCTGCATGCGCACAGGCGTGACAGGTAAGGCACTGGGGAGAAGGAGGATGGACATTACACTACTGTGTGAAGGTTGTAACAAGCATTTCCCGTCCTCTCTTTCAAATACAGCAAAGCCCCCCGAAACTGAGCAATTGGGGTCAGATCGGCAATTATTGCCCTCGTGACGAGCGCAATAAAAAAAAGCTTATCTAACCGTATTTCATGCTTGGGGGGGAGATCTCGACAAGGTTTCGCATCCTTCGAGAACAACAAAACAGTCCAGGCTCAAGAGACTGCGCCGTAACACTGCTCGCAAGTCTTCTGCAACCGAACCCGAGCGAGCCCTGTTACCTTTGCCCGCAGCCTGCCGCTTACCCCTTCACTCTGCTGCCGAATACCCGGGGCCCACGTCGGCCGGCACTTCTCCACACTCGCGGAGACATCCTACTTTTGACAGCGGGTTGTGGGACTGCCCGGAGAGGCGCTCGCAGGTCAATGAGTTAAGAAGAGAGTGAGCACAATTACAGTAGGTGTATTGGGGAGACATTTCGTCCAATGTCACCACCAGAGGTATATACATGTACGCGTAGAATGCCGCCGAGTCCGAACCCACCCAACAGGGTCACTAAACACCCAGGTAAGCTACGACACGCCATCCAGCGTGCAAACGGTAGCTTTGAACACCTGTATCGCCAGAACCGCCGGTAGACAATAAACCGTGGCCGACGTAAAACTCCTAGTTCCGTTTGTGCAGATGCTCCCAGTTCACGCCCGCCCAATCCTATTCCCTTTTCCTATCCAATAGTGTTGAAGTATGAGTACATCCGACTTACTCTGGCCTAGAGCATCCACCTGTCCGTCCAACGTCAAGATCAAACAACGTGGTGCGAGTTTTCATGTCCCTAGCCATAAACCGACCCTGCCACCATTTGGGTATCCACCGTTCTTGTCCTCCGGTCTCCGTCCGTCATAACCGCCATTATCCCCTTGATGTTGCTGCTGCTGCCGCGGGTCTATACCAGGATTCTCCCCACCAACGGGGCCTCCCACGGGACCGCCGGTACCGGTTGCCATCCGATCATGCATCATTATTCCGTTCCCCATATCGGGATAGCCTTGGGCCCCTTCACGTTGATTGGTGTAAGGTCCAGGATTATGTTCTGGGTATTCGCGCGGCCCCGTCCCACCGCTGCTAGGGCTCCAGGCTGTATCATATACGGGCATGCCCATCGCTGCCATATCGGACGTGTTGCTTCGAGTCAGGCCTAATGGGCTCATGAGATCGACACTGCTTGCGTCCATGTCGACTCCACCCATACCACCCGTCAAGCGATCGGACCCAAGGTCGATTCCCAACCCCATACTTGGTATGGTAGAAGGATGGTGCATTGAGTTGCTTCCGAGGTCGAGCCGTTGTTGTTGTTGTTGTTGTTGTTGTTGCTGCTGCTGCTGCTGCTGCTGCTGCTGGTTGTTGCCATTGCTCTCTTCGTTGTCGTCAAAGACTTCGCCCACAACGCTCCCTCTTTGTTGTCCAACTTGTCCCCAGCCTTGCTCCATCATGTGGTGCGCCTGACCTGCGGCAATCATCGCCGCGGCGGCTGAACTCATTCCAGACATGGCGGGGCTGAGTTGTGTTCTCATACTTCCTGGGTTCTCGCCGGCAGCGGTGAGCAGCTTCTCTGCGAACTGTTTTCGGGAGTTGTCGCTCGCACTCAGTGTACGCACAAAGAACTCGATAGGGTCTAGACTCGCCCCCTTTCGACCGCTGCCCAGAACACCCATATCGCCTGACGTAAAGTCCATGGCGGTTGAGAAGCCAACACTTTCGCATGCCCCCAAGACGTTAACGCACCAGGTTCCGATTTCGAAGATCTTCTCCATGATACCCATTCCGTGAACCTCGACAGCTTTACTAGGCAAGCTTGATAAGATCGAGGCCGTATCACGTGCAACTGTCAGAGGGAACGAAAAACACATGCTGTTCCCACCGCCGACACCGCTGCCCGAAGATACCCCACCTCCTGAGTCGGCCGGGTTGGTCCAGCTCAGAAGGCCTTGCCTCATCGACGACTGCCACACGATCAGTCGAAGCCATTGTTGTGTGATGAGCAAATCGGCTTTTTGAATGTCTGTCGGCTCTGGTGCCCCAGCATCTCTAGAGGCTGACGTTGAACCATAGGAACCCATTAGCTGCCCATGAGGCTGGGTTGGTGGTGATGATCGCCCATGTGGGCGAAGGAATGCAGGAGGGAGGGAGAGAAGGTTTTGCAAAGCCAAAAACGTTGTTGCGCTGACGCGGGGATCAGACCCCTCATTCCAAGCCGTCACGAACGATTCGTCCAGAGGAGTGTAGGATGAAACAAGCTGCAGAAAACCGGCATGAATATCGGGGCCTTCGTAGGGTTGCCGTGTTGTTGGTAGCGACGGTGTTCTTTTGAACGTAATTGGCTTGTTGCGAAGAATCGCAAAAGACCTATGTAGCACAAGTTGCGTTAGTATCTCGGATGCGGCCTCGCAATATACGTTGGCGTGACCCAGCGGTCAGTCGTTACTAACCTTTCCGTTACGAAGAGAATCCAGAAGACCCTCTGTCGGCATAGCGTTTCCTCGCGACTCAGCCCGTAGTATGTTGAATCGTCCTGGAGTCCTAGGTCCTGTGCGTTGGTCAACGCTTCCCGGAGATAGTACCACGATTTGCGCGATTGGTTGATTTCAAAGAAGGATGTGCTCAGGTAAAACGACGAAATCACGGCGGACAGGGACAAATCCTCGAGGAAGTCGTACGTCTGCCTCGTCGAAATGGTCTCGTCGAGGAAGAAGCGACCGACGACTTCCCAAGACGTGGGTCCAGGCGCGCCGATGCTTTTACCAGACATGTGCATCGACGTCAAGGCGCAAAGGGCGTAAATCAGGTTCTTCTCGCTCGGCGTCATGGGTCGGTTGATCGTTTCGCGGACGGTCGGCATGTAGATGAGAGGCATGATGGGGTAAATGTGCTCGTAGTACAGCTCGACCAGCTGGGGGATCATGTGGAAATAGCTCCTCGTCCTCGGTCGTAGTTCATCGCTCGAGAAGATGCCTCTGGGCTCCGGCACATTGGTATGTCCTGGGTTCGAGGTGACGGCAGCCCAAAAGCTCGGAGGGGTCGATGCTGCGGACGCGTTGGACGAATGTTGAGATGTCGCTTCGCCGAGGTCGCTACCGCTCATCCCAATGTCGACGCTGTCTAGGTTCAGCGGCGGGCAAGCTGCTGATAATCGACGCCGCACATACTCTGTAGGACTCTCGAGCGCAGTTTCTGCATTGAAAGGTTTCTGGACTTTTGGTTGCTGCTTTCCTTGGGACGACTCCCGGGCGCGTAACTCATTTATGACCCGTCCATGGCCACGCTTCGGTCCTCTTTTCTTAGGGACATGCTCGCGCTTGCAGGTGAGTGAAGCGTGCACGCATTGCTCACAAGGGAACTTGCCATCGCAACGGATTCCTATTGCCAGTTAGTTCTCATGAGCTCCATCGTATGAGAAACGAGAAGAATGAAAGACGTGGCAAGAGACGTGAGTTGCGGACATGAAATGAACAGTTCTTGATGATGGATGTGAAGATGGTGATGACGTGCAGCAAGCAACGTCAGCAACAGCAGCATCAGCGGCAGTAGCTAAGGCGGGATGGTGGTACCATGAAGCCGACAGATGGACTGCCCGGGCGGCAGACTGCTGGGAAGAGGAAGAATCGCACGAAAATTCATGAATGCGACGGACGGACGGCAGGGGATGCAAATTGAGATACGACGATAATAGTAACGTGAGAGAAGTGGAACAGCATACTTCTCCTTCGACAGTGATCGCATACGGTTCTCTTTGGCGGCGCTGATTGTTGTTGGTGGTGCTGCTGCTGGCTCTTGGTAGTGGCGGGGGTAGTGGTCGCGCCTGGTGACTCGGCCTTCACTTCTGCAGAGCCTGCTCTGCTCGCAGCATTTCTCGCGGAATCTGTGTCGTCCATCACTCAAAACATGACGCAATAAGAATAAGGGAACAGTCAAGAGAAGGGAGATGGCAGAGACAGGCTCAGGACTCTTGTCACAGGGGTGACGGCCGTTAAAGAGTTTGAGCGAGAGATTTCGCGGTGGAGTGATGATTTGTCGCAGCCCAGCAAAAAAGCAGTGCAGTGCCAGAAGCAGAACTGTCGTGGAGCAACAAGCCTCGACTCGGACAGTGCTGCAGCCCAGCCTCCCCCCGGTCAAAAAGCCAGTTCCAGTCCACTCTCGGCCGCCTCAGCCCCTCACCGGCAAGGGAAGGGGAAGGAAGCTAAGGTAAGGTAGGGTCGGTAAGGTGTGGCCTAGCTGTGAGGTGAGGTACGTAGGGTACGGAGGAGGAAGTGTATGTACGAATAGCGTAGCGGAGGTAGCGTCTCGTCTGTCCTCGCCTCATCAGTCGAGGTGTCGGTAGCTGGCTGGTGGGATGGCGTCGGGGGGTTGTCTTGTTGATCGTCGCTAGCGCATGAAGGTGTTGGTTGCTGCTTAAGTTTTTCACTCCGTGTCCGATGTCTGCTCGAAGACCGTCGGGATCGGCTGCCGGTCTTGTCCTGACCTGCCCAGTCCAGTTTCTGTCCAGTCTTGTCAGGACGTCCAGTGTCTGTCTGTCTTCCTGTCTCGTCTTCCTGTCTCGTCTTTCGTTGCGCGTGCGGCGTGCAGCTTGCGGCTTGCCTGTGCAAATGCGGGGAAAAAAGAAACGACAGTTCGAGGCGAATGAGAAGCGGAGAGAGAGAGAAGGGGGGAAAGGATGAGTGAGGGGCGGCTACGAGCAAAAGGAGGGTTCGCTGCCGTTTCTGTATCCGGACTGAGGTAGGTATACTATGCACTAAGGTGAGTAATAGTAAGGTGGTAGAGCTGAGGCAAAGGTCGTGTGAGGTGGTCGTCTTGTGAGTCAGCTGATGAAAGAAGAAGTTGAGAAGAAAGATCGATCTGTTGATGACCTTGGACCAAATCGACGGATGACCTTGGAGATGTGCGGGGGAAAAGGGTTCGAGGCCAATCAACTTCGGATGAGCTGCACGACGGAACGGCAAGGCAACGGCTCAAAATAAGGCAAATGGCCAGAAGAAACGAGGGAACAAATAAGTCGTCAGTCCAAGACGTTCGAGTCCGTGTTGCCCCCTTGTTGGTAACCCTTCTCTAGTTTGGGGCTTCAGCTGAACCTGAGCTTCTTCAGTCCCAAGTTTGCCAGGGACCTGCAGCTATTTTGGATCGAAATGATTTGCGGCGCTATTCCGGCCCCTCTGCGAACGGAGCCATTTGTCTGGCTCCTGGAGACGTGCCCGGCATCCGCCCGCTCATGCCAAGCTCCATCAAAATCCTCCACTGAGTACCGCCGAGCGGAGCTAACCGCAGGCACCACCCCCGCCGTTATGGACCACATGTGCGAGCTTTGCTCGTGACGGCGAGCCAGGGAGCCCCGGGGCAACCGCGTCCTGGGCTGCGTCTGGGTTGACTCCAGCGTCAGGGACTCAAGCTCGACTCGAGCTCCAGAGATCCCAAGATGCTTAATTCTCTCCTCGGGTGCCCAAACTCTGCTCGCCATGCCACGTTTCGACCTCGTTCCGGGAACCAGTCCCCGAGACCTCTGAATCACTTCATGGTCCAGATATGTCTGCATGTCTGGGACTTTGTTATGGTCTGGTCTGGGATTGCCGCATCATGCTGCACCGTTGGAATGTACGTGGCCATCGACAGAGCCTCCGGGGTCCGCAAGCAAAAGCGCGCGTTCGCGTTGCATCAGATGTCCAAGACTCGAGTCGAATGCGGAACTTCCCAGGCAGACTTCCTGATCATCACTGTACGCATATACCTTGCATGCATAGCGACTCGATGCAATTTGCGCGGTTGAGGCGGTTTGTAGACGATATAGGGTCGTCGATCTATCCCCGTCTACTACGACTCAATGCCTGTCGATTTGCAGCTGTCAAAATCTTGTACGTGCTCAAATGAGGGGTTTCCGGGGTCCTGAACATTCCAGAACGATCCGATTCAGGGAAATTGCTCTGATGCCGGCGGCATCCATATCAACGGCCCCTGACATGATGCGGAGGTGGCTCATCGAACTGTAAAGACAAGGCAGGGATCGCCCAGCTCGAATGTCAATCAGTCTTGGACGACAGTGGTGTCGAAAGCTTGGTATCATAGCGTTGCAAAGAAGTTGGGGTCTATTTCGAAACCAATATCGAGTCCCGGAGTCCCCGATGGGTGCTGTGAAGGTAATATCGCCAACGGGTTCACGGTTACCTGCGGTTGATCGGGAGCTTTGTGAAGAGCGGCGCGCGCGGACCTCATCCGCCCTGCGAGGCAAAGCACCGACTTGATGATTTTCTCAACAAGTACGGAATATAGTACTGGGTCCTGGCCGCTGGTACGTGCTCCCAGCAAGGCCGACAAGATCATTGGTGTCGATGATGGACTCGGCGATGTCCTTGGCGTTTCCTCTTCCAACGGCGCCGAGAGACTTGAGCGTAGAAAAGTGGATACCGGACTCGGGGAGAATCTCCTGAACGGTCTTGGCCTGACTGAATGATCAGGGCCCAACATGAGGAATTGGCATGCGGCTTCGTTGACTGGTCCGCATAGTCTTGGTCGAGGACGTCGAGATAGGGACGCCGGCCGAAAACGCCGGTCGACCGACACACGTACGCCGTCAAAGGGGTTGTCGGTGTGCTCCCGAGCCGATCCGGAACGAGGGCGTGATGTTTCTGCTTGCAAGTTGCAAGGGGCAAGTTGTAGGATTGACGCTTTGTCGTCCTATCCACTTGGCTGGAACTCTCTATGCTGCTGCCCAGTCGAAGTTGTCATGAACAATGGGCAGCTGGAAATCTCTTCTTCCAGCTGGCAATATCGCCTAGACTAGCTCAATCGGAGCATAAACTTTGTCAACGGGCGCTGCCGCCCAATGTGTCCTCCACTCACATCCACATTCACCTTGTCTGCAATATCCCTCCTAACCAAGAGGTTGCATTTCGAGGGGCGTGCCAGGGCCTTGGGTCGAGTGGATAAATTTGTCGGTTGAACAATTGAACAGCCCGACCTTCGGACGACGCATCCGTGGCTTATACACATGGCTCCCGAAACCATATGATGATGGCAAGCCATCCCTGACAAGCAATAGCATCTCGAAGCTGTGTTGAGTCCTACAAGGCTACAACAACAAATCCGAGTATTGCTTCGGACGCCGAATGGAAGTCCATGTCCGAGATGGTAGGTAGGTCAAGGTCAGAACAACGGGCTTCGTCAATATCTGGCCCTCTCATCGATTCAACTCAATTGATGAGGGCTCAGCAGCAGCAGCCCACGGCCCGCACCCAAACATGATGGCGAATCGGCAGTCGGGTGGTTTAGTGAAACTTCTGGGTATACGACAGGCGCAGGGGAAAAGTGCCGATCCCATTTTGCTGAGCCTTGCAAGTGCCGACTTTGAGTTGATGTTGCAATCATGGCCGGTAGGTGACTCCGAAAGTGTGACTCCGCGAAGTTGGTAGTGCAATGTGCGTGCGGTGTGCCCCTGAACCGACGATGCCGAAGAACCTGTCCCAGCAGAATGGTTATGCCCTTGAATTATCAACTCCAAACTCATTTCAGGATCCCGGAGAAGCTTAAGACGTGACATCTTGGCTGGGCCCCAAATAGACTAGATGGCAGAAGTCGAAGCCAAGACTTCAGGGTCGACTCCTCAAAGTCTGAACATTTTCTCTCTCCGAGTTGAGTTGTGTTGTCGGGTCGTATCGTGTCTGCTATAGGCCCTAGCTGCGATTGATAGAGAGAAGCTCGAAGGCGCTAAGCACTGCCTGCCCGCCAAGGATCGAGAACTTAGTGGCTGCCAAGCGGTAAGGTAGTGCACGGGGGGCGGCAGGCACTGCGACGGGCGACGAGAGGTCAAGGCGAAAACGACATGTCGTATGCAGTGTGGGCATTTGACGTTGCTAGCTTGCACAGGTCCCCTCGTACTCAGGGCACTGGCGATATGATCATTAGAAGTCTAATCTGCGACAGACAGCTTAACAGCCTGGACTGCCCAGGCAGGTAGATGATGAAAGGACACAGGAGCTAAGGCCCAAGGAAGCATACGTGTTCCAATCACTTACCATGTAACTCCGCCTCCTCCGGATTCTCTGCCTCATTAAAACAAAGAAAACTCTCCATCAGGGTTGGGTTGGGTTGGTTGAGAATCTTCGAATGGTAGCCTTTGCCGGAGCCAGTCCCGGATACCGGGGAAGAGGGCTGAGGGAGTCTGAGGGAGTTTACGACGGGGGGCGGGCTAGCCATGGCAATGGATCACGACTGAAATTTGAACCGAGATTGGGGATGAAGAGAGAAAAGTCAGAGATGTGCAGATCGCAGATATTCTGCCTCAACGCCCATGTACTATTTGTCAACGTTTACGGCGTCGGCAGGAGACGATGTGATGCCCGGCTACCAGTGCCTGCCTCACTCACACCGACAGACTGAGCAAGCAGTGAGCACGTGTATGCGTACCTTCCTCTGGACGGAGTAAAGGGCAGGTCACGCCTCGGCGGGGGTGCCTTCCTCCAACGTCTCGGAAGGAGGTGATGCCGTTGCCGCCCTCCGGTCCGGCAAGTGGGATGCTCCGTCCTGCCATTATCGGATGGTGCCTTCTCAGCAAAGGGGCACCTTCCATTACTACCTACCTCCCACCTTCCTCTGTCAACTTCAATAGTCAAGACAGGAGCTTTCGATCGGCAATGGCTATGAACTCCAGGAAACCCGGCAGGTCCCGGACGTGACTTTCCGAATGAACAACTCCAGTCCGGTCACGGTGGTAGTCCGGCGGGAATGCAATCACGTCGTACCGCGGACGTCCATGCCATGGAAGCCGCGGGGTCTCGAGTAATCAGATTATCTGCAAAGCCAAGCATTGCTATGGGCAGAAGTCTCAGCGTTGCTCGAGACAGGACAAGAACGTTAGTCTCCGCAGAGAGGACAGAGCGGAGTTCGAATGTCATGGATGTTGGCACCGAGGGTTTGGCTCGTTCATTTGTGTTCTGTAGGGTTGATCGTGGAAAAGAACATTTAACAGCTCAACAAGATGTATCTGACCGTTACATTCGTCGGTCTCCAGTAATTAATGCAGGTAGGTATTGTCTCACACGAGGCTGCTTCATATGAACTATATGGAGTGACGTTGCCAACATCCCTGCCAGTTCCTCACAACAACAAAGCATCGAGATAATGGCCTAGACCACGATCAAATTAGACCTCGTTGGGATCCGTGAGAGACGGCAGTCGACACCATGACCCTGAAGATCATAACAGTCCAGCTATAGTGGATCCAGTCGAGTGTAGCTGAATAAGAAGTGGTCCAAAACATTGCCGTTTCGGGATCCCGTTGGGTTGATCGGGATACCGAGTCCGGGTGTGACATAGAATTGCTTCCAAGTCCGACGTGGCCATTAGATCGAAAGAAGAAATCGACATTCGCCCGTCTCGTCAATTATTCGTACTCGACGCCCGTTGAATGACTATCATCTCGGGTTGGATCCGCGTGATGCCATGTTGCAAATTGATGCCACCGATCGTATAGTTTCTAACAAGTCCGATTGCTACCCGAGCAAGCAGATTTTTTTGATCCTTCATGGAGTAGTCTGCTGAATAGTTCCAGAACCGGATATTCTGAGAACCGAAAGGCTCAAAGCCGAACAGCCTGAAAACCGAAGAGTTTCAGGACCGAACGGTTCTGAAAACCGAGCAACTCCGACAACTGAATACTCCTGAGAATCAAGCG